GGGACGTGTCATACGCGAAATTGAAATGCAGCTGAGACAGAAAAGCGATATTATAGATTTTCATATAGATAAAATCGATACGATATTTTCATCATTTTCTGTTTACAATATCATTCTTGAATCTCTGAGGAATTTCTCTCTCGTAAAGTTTTGTTTTTTACCTGCGCCGCCGGATATATTCGATTCGAGACGCTGCGTCTCTTGAAATACAAAATCTAAATGAAAGCAGAAATAGCTTTTAAACCGAAGGTTTTAAAGATATAAAAGCTTGCACTGTTCTCAATATATATCGAGAATTTTCTATTTTAAATCTAAAAAAAATTCCGTAAGGCTTTTAAAGCCATTTAGCGAAGCTATTTAAAATCTGTACATTACGAGCTAATATAAATGTATAGCTATATTCATTAGTATATAGATATCTATTCTATATCCAAAAAACTTAATAAAGTGTTTTCTACTTAATTTATCTTGAAGTTATTCAGTATAAACGACATCACAAAGTCTAAGAGACGCCTACAAAACGCCTTTACACATCTTGGATCAATGAACGTAACGGTTCAAAAGCAACAGGGTTACGGACATATTCACACCCACACAAACACTCAGCTATATGCAATATTATAACAGCATCAAACGATGGGTATCAAAAGGTGAATTTAATCACGTCGTGAAATCTCGCCGCGTATCATTTTCAACGCGAAAACATATCGCGTCTAAGTACATCGCGCAAAACGATTTGGCAGCCGTCGTCGATCGTACAACAAGTCGAGCGTTTAAATTTTTATTAATAGAATTTACCTCACCTATTCGATGGTCAAATCGGTGCACCTGTACCGCGCGTTTACCAGGCCATTCGCTCGTCGGAAACCGAAAGCCGGCGCGCGAGCGGACGCGACAGTTAAAAGGAGGACGCGGCGCCTCCCCATTTTTCACCGTGAAGCGAGACTTACTTTCGCAAAGGCTTGCAACCGATGCAACCGTGGCAGCTCGCTTGAGCGCCGCGTGATATTTTTATCAAAAGCACGTGGAAAATAACGGTCCCGCGGCGACCCGCAGCTCTTTCCTGTCAGCTGACATTACCTTGTAGTATAATCAATGGTGTACTGCAATCGACACCTATTTTCAATCCGATTATATCATACAAATAACGATATGCATTTATCAAAGTTTATATCTGTGCACCAGTAAAATAAATCACACGTTTCTATAATTGGACCGCGGAAAATCCGTGCTGCAGTTAATAAATAAATGGCATTTTAGTCGCAAATCATACTTTTTAAATCCCATCGGATAACATTTATCGTGATAAATGACATCGAAACCTTTATTGTCGTGTCGAAATCAGAAAAATTAATAGAAAGCAGGAATAATATTATATACATCAATGTCGGCATTTTGTTTGAAACATTTGAAATATTTTATTATCACTTTCAATCTTCTTGCACTGTTTTATGTATGATTACCGCGTCTTAATATCGTATATCGTTTATCACATGCTACGTGCTACGTGATTTGTCGAATTTCCCAAGCGCATCATTCGCCGCCCTCGTATATCTACCGATAAAAATAGTTAATGACGCCTATAGAGAAAGATACTCGCTGTCGTCTCATCTAACGTTCAAGTATCGTTCGAACGTGATACGAAATTCTTCCGGATTCAACGAAGCCGGAACGGAAATCGAATTGTTCTCGCGAGTTGTCCGACGCCGTCCAATTTTCTCTCTGTCTCCCTCCCTCTCTCTCTCTCTCTCTCTCTCACTCTCTCTTTTTAGCACGATCGATCTTTCCCGCTTTCATTCATTCGTATGTACAAGTATATACGTGTGCCACAAGTAGCACACATGTCGGGCTAAACTTCGCGCTGACAAAGGTGCGAGACAAAGGGAAGGAACGGACAGACGAACGGACGGGATATCGGTGTTCTGAGTCGCTGAACAGGACGTGCGTTGTTCTCCCAGCGGTTGACAGCCGCACGTTGACATCGGCGTGTACACGTGCACATATGCACGCTTGATGCGGGCATATATTATCAAGTAGGAGCTTTACACGTGTTATGTATTTATAACAGATGCCGTGAGCTTTTCGGCAGAATCGTTTCGACGATCTAAATTTATTTCTTAAGGATTGGAAGTTCAATGACAAATTTATTTTTATCGGCGTTTAGCAAATTTTCAATAAAGCAAATTTAATATTATACCTATGAAAGATAGTGTCTATTTACTGAAAAATCTGCAAAAAATATTAAATTCTTTTTAATGTAAAAATTGAGAGAGAACATTTTTCAGATAAAATAAATGCACGATTCCTGCTCTTAATAATTGAGCTTAATAAATCAATACGCCTGTATTACAAAATTAATTTAGAAAAATGAGACATTTCTATAATAAATTTGATTTGAATAAAATTATGCATATAGAAATAAAATAATATTAAAAATGTAATTACACACGAAAGTAACGAGATTTAAATTAAAATGACTTTGACATGGAAATAGCAATCAGAATTTTAGAATATTTCGCTTCAATCAACACATAATTTCGTCAGATGCGAGACTTGGATTTGAGTCATCTCGCACATATGATACAAAACTGATGTATGAATCATCTCACAGATAAAATGAATTCATGAATCAGCTAAGGTCTATGAACTTCTGAATAATATGCTTGAAATTCTTGTGCCAGTGCTGTGCTTCTTTGTTCGCAAATATTTTATTTTTCTACAAAAATTAAATGTTTGCTAAATTCAATAAAATTAGATACGATAAAAATAAGTGATTTTGTGCTATTTCTATAATATATACCATACCTTTTTGTACTATTCTATATGTATATAAGTCCCATTTATCTTTCTTCTTATCTTTTTTATATCTTTAATTTTTTGTTTAAATCTAATTTCCAAGAGGAAAGCGTTTACTTGGAATAATTAAATTCCTTACGTGTGCGCTTTCATGTTTAATGCATAGAAAACAACCGTGCCGTACACAGGTGTGCAACTTTCGCCTTGTTAGCTGGTTCGACCTGACGTACAATTACTAATGCAACGCAAATGCATTAGCACGAAACGTGTCCGATAGCCAAAGTTTACTTTTGCAGTGCAGTCTAAAGATTATTTACAAGTCTCACAAGCCGATTCAATTTTCGTGTTGAATTACGTTTATCGGCAGTGGCATCGAGAGTAACCGTGTGAATCCATTACTCCAACGTGGCGTTGCCATCTATTTCCACGCAAATGTACGAACCTAGAAACAGTCGATCTTTGTGTCTCAGTTCGAAATGCTTTGTAGGTATTGGTTACATTAAACTACTAAATGCGTTTAACGCTATATAATGCTATCAAGATATAGTTGATAAATTTAGTTTTCTGCACGGAAGCTAGTTTTCGGGAAATATAAAAATAATAAATAGATTTATTCTATTGTTTGATCAAATATAGCAAATATATTCTTTTCTAATAAAAAAATTTTAATTATCAATTTTTTTTACATTGATATTTGGGCTTACATGATAAATTTAAATATTTTAAAATAGATTTCAATGAATCGTAAACGTATCTCTGTTTTTAATAATAGACATGTATAGGTATTATTAAAAAAAAGATGTGATCTTTAGTAATATGTATATAGTATACAGTCGAACCTCGATCACACGAACCTCTACAACCTCAAAAATCTCTGTAAGACGAAAATTTTGTTTATTCCCTTCCGCTCCACTACGGAAAACATCTATAAATCGAAATAAAGCTTACTTAACTTGAATTATTTATCAGATATTTAGATGTATTATTTTACTTCTGCTAACTCGAATTTAAAGCAACCAGACCTCTACAAGTCACCTCTATAAGTCAAACTTCTATTGTCGCTGCCTCTATAATTTTTAGCTACATGTAACCTTGTGTACTAATCTGGTATCATGATGCAAGTAGATCAGTAGCATCATGATGTCTACTTGCATCATGGTCTAGTATTTGTTTTATGATTACGTATATTATATGCAATAAATAACTCACTGTCAAATATTGAATTTTTTTTCCTTTAAAAGCCAATTATAATTGGAAAATTGTAAACTATTGTACAAAGCCTCCGTAAATTGAATTTTCGTGTGTTAACTTTCTTTTACTTGAATTTCAATCAGTCAAAAATTCTATAACTTGAAGAGTTTAGCTATTCCCTTATTAAGATTCGAGTTATCGAGGTTCTATTGTATCTTATAAACATACTTTGTAAATAATAAATATAATTATATAATAATAATAAGTAATAATTTTTTATTCTGATTGTTTCATGTATTGATTATAATAATTACAAAAGGCATATTCTAATAATATAAGCAGAGTTATGTACGTGTAGTTGTTATCTTTCCGAGAGCCGCGAAATCTATTTCATATTTCACGAGAATTGCGTTATTACCTGAGAGATGAAATTCTCTGTTGAGAATTCCGACCGTTCCATCTCCTCTCATTTCTTCCACCAATCCCGAGCACATATTAAAATGATGCCCACGTGAAGTGTGGTATTAGTGATATTAACCGGGGTCAACGCGCTGCAAAGGGTGCGATGGTGTCTAGAATATGTAATATACGTATTTTGAATAACAGAATATGCAAGAAAAACATGAATATGCAAAAATACACGTATGTTCGATTAATGCATAATCGAACCGATAATGAATATGAATATGAAAACAAAAGCGAATGACGAAATATGAGAAAAGGAACACGAAAAGTCAGAATTAATGTGAAAAAGAAACGTTGATGATTTATAACGACTGATTTTGATAACGATAAAATGGGTTTAAAACATAGTTTTTTTTTCGTTTATCAGAGCTTTGTTTTTATTACAAATATAATTATTGATTTCTTTATACAAATTTTTGTATTAAATTAATTTAAATTATTGTAAGAGAATTTGAGCTCTGCTTTTTCTTTAGTTTTTCTGTATTTGATTTAAATTACAATTACGTATTTTAATATCTACAATGTTGTGATTGCTTTGTGCTTGATAGGTGTCGTCAATAGAGGAGATTCCTTTAGGAGAAGAAGATCGAGATCGAATTCTTTGGCGCCTGCCGATCAGGAGAACGAAGAACGGCGACTACCGCCCAAGGAAGTAGCTTCGCATACCGTTGCTATGTTAGGTACAAGGGGAGTTGGGAAAACCGCTCTTATCAGTCAGTTTATGACCAGCGAGTGTATAAACGCCTACGATAGACAGAGAGGTGAGTCCTACAATTACATAACGCTATAATACAATATTACAATATATTACAATATATATTGTGAAAAATTATGAAGACGTGATATTAAGTTTAGAAAGTGTCACCTTTTTTTATTGTTAGTTATTCTCGAAAAACCGATAAATATTATCTTCAATGGTTTATTAAGATAAGAAACTCAACGTTACAATCATGGTCAATGGAAAGATTTTAATAATAGCGCATATAAAAATATTCTATAGACTTAAAATCGATTTTTCCTTTAATATAAAGAACCTAGGCAATTTCATTAAAGGCAAATTTATGTACTTTTGTAAAATATGTATGTTTCATGATTGTTAATGGAATAAAATCTTAATTGTCACTCAATATTAAGAAAACTTTATTTAAGTTAAACATTAAAAAAGATAAAAAATATCTTATATTCTTTTTCCAAATCTTTGATAAAGAAAAAAATGGTCTTATAAGCTGCAAATAAAAAAAATTAAAACCTATAGCGTATTAAATAAGGAGTTATACGTAATAGTCAGATTCCTGAAGGAATTGAGTGAGCCTTCAGTGAAAGCAATTCAGTGAAAACAATAAGGTGAAAAATTTGTAAACATAAATCTTGTTTGAAAGCACCCGGGACTAAGCCTCTCGACAGAAATGTTTTATTACCACGTCGTGTAAACGCAATTACCACGTGGAAACGATCGCAGAAAGGAAATTGTTGGACATTTCTTAATCGATTCTGTGGCAAACAATCTTTATGGCAATTTCCACAACGGTTTACATATCGCGAGATACGATCGTCCGTTATGCTCGTGTTAGTTTACGCGACGGTCTCCTGTGTGTATTTCGATTGCGCACCCGGTGAAAGACGGCATCAGGCCTGAGAAGTGCGTAGTTTCCGGTTTCCTAAGCCGTTTGGGATACGCGTTATTCTCTCCGAATGCGTTCATAGTTGAACGACGCTTAAGCTGATATCTTGGAACGAGGTCAAATAACGTTAATCTAACGCTTGACTTGGAAAAAAGGACGAATATCCTGCATGTCTGACCATATATATTATCTTTCTCCTTTTTATTTCATAGAATAACATTGATTTTTCTCGTCCAAGATTATGAAATGTAGGAGTGACGATCTGAATCGGATAATACGATAATTTTAACGTAATATTTAAAATTAAATATAACACAGAAAAAATGGGAGGTTAATATATGCAAAGACTATAAAGTGTAAAAGTAACGTAAAAGAAAATATAGCGTGTTTGAATAAAAAATATTTGTTTGTTAAATAGAGTAATAGTCATTTTTTGTTAATTAAAAATTAAGCTATGTTACTAACTGTATTACACTGTGACATGTAAAACGAATATAAATTGGACGTGAATGTATAAACAACAATATAATTACATTTTTTAGTATAAGTTTGCAGTAATGTAGTTTGCATTGCCAGCAAAGGCAACTTTTAAAATATTTCAAATTTAATAACGAGGCGCTATTGAATTGCTTGGTAAATACTTAGCAGGCAAATTCTTTGAACAAATTAAAGTTAAATATTTCTTTAGCAAACATTTCATTGCGCTGCTTCATTTTTCGCGTTCTCTTTTCGTAATCTTTAATATCAGATATTTTAATAACTCAGTCGTATAGTAAAATTTAATTAAAATAACATTGACTTAGAATTTATCTGGAAATTAAAAGAAAAGTTTCGATTTTATAACCGTACTTTGTTCATGAGAAATCTTGCATTATTAATTTCTTCTCATACATATCAGTATTTTTCGTAAAATGCAGGATTCTTCACTGCGTTAAAGCCCCGAATAGCGAGTATTGTTTTATAAAATCGCTCGTCACCCGATATCGATTACTAAAGTGCTAGTGATATCTCGCGTAATACAAAATTTGCATAAATATATAGGTCGAGGATCGTATATCGTGTCGACGATAACGTGAATGGTCATCGCCGTTCTGTTGTCTATCCTTACGATAGCCACCTGTTAAATCGGACGCGAGATGACTTTTTTATCGTTCACATGTCATTGAGCTTAACTGTTATATACTTTCTCATTAATTTTACTAATGCAACATGACTGTATTTTGATCTTTGTTAAATAACTATTGTTTAAACAAACGAACTTTGCTCTTATTAGAATATAACTACATAATCTCTCTTATATATCATGTTTTGCATCAAATAATTGAGATAATGTTACCAAAATCAACTTTTATAGGCTTATATCTTTCCCACGCGAAAAACGTGTTGCAAATTTATTTAATATTAGCTTTACAAAACGTAATTAATTAATCATGCGAAATTTCTCGAGCTACTGTTTCCCCTCGCAGCTTCTGCCTCTCATTGAAAACTTCCCCGCTACTCTTTCATTGGTGCTAAAGTATGATAAGCGAGACGGGCGAGGCTTTGTTCCAGTTGGACACATTCAATCCGCGTTCGGCGACGTCACCCGGCGCTATTACGATCGATATTCGTGCGAGCTATCAAACAATGGGGCATGCTCGCTTGGTAGAAAAAAATCCGCGCCCTCTATTCCCTCTCCGATCCTCCCCTTGTCTCCCTTTTTCCCTCGTGCTTTTTTTTGCATCCCAATGTAATGGAATTTTCTATTTATGTCTAGTGCATGCCGCGCAGGCAAGCGGCTTTCGCGGAGATAATGGTTTCGAAATGGTAGCGAAGAGCTACTCCGCGGAGAGTGTAACCCTCGCAGTACACACTTTTTGCGCGAAACTTTTTTACACACTTGTCGCGAAACGTATGAAGTTAGAATACGAGACACGAAGATACCGTATTACGGCGGTAATACAACTTTTAATTTATCGTTGAAAAAGAAATGGAATTTTTAATGCTGATTAAATTGCACGAAATTCTGCTCGCAAACTAACGAAAAACGTAAAAGTGGACGCAAACACAATATTTCTCCCCGTCGTGAAGAGTAAACTCGGGAACAAAATACAGTGACTTGTAGCCAAATACGGGAATATCAAAGAATAAATGTTGATTCTCTGCTGGCGCGCTTCAACAATTTTAATCGCTTCCTTGCGCAATCCCGTTGCTTATGAAACGCGATGATTTTTCCTATTACATTATATTTATTTTCTTTCTCGTTCTTTGATCTTTTGGCAGATGCCATCAAAATAAATTTTTTTCTTTGTCGTGATTGATGTGATTAATTGAAAATACTTAAAGACTTATTTGCTTTCAAATCATTTTTTTTTGGTGACTATGAGACTGATCTAAAATAAATAAATAAATAAATAAATAAATGAACTGTTAGTTTAATTCGGTTTCAATCTTTGCAAATAATCGTCGTATAACGCAATTACAAGCGTAACAATGTTATAAATAAATTATGATTTTTAAGAAAAGCAAATAAAACTGATTGTGAAACAAAATCGACTGTTTCTTACAAGAGATAAGCGTCTCTACGACTCTTGATTTTTCTTTTTTTAGAAATTTCCTTTTTAGAGTAATTATTCAGCTTTTTAGCTATACACAGTTTTTCTCTCTTTCTCTCTCTTTTTCTCTCAATTTTTCTTAAAATAAAATATGTCGTCTGAAGAAATTAAACAATTTGTGTGTCCATTATTAATTATACGTACGGAAATGTATTCCATTAATTTTCTCCAGTTAATTACCCTTATTATTGACGCCTCCGTAATTTAATTAATAATAATTTAAACATGACGCTCACACACAAACAATTATCTCTACATGATGGCGTACGTTTATTGAATTCTGTTATTGCTAGCACGTTGATGAATCTATTCTTGCTTATCACCGCATATCATCATTCTTTAAACAATATTCCTCGATGTTGCAATGTAAATTATTCGATGAGAGTATGATTTATAATAAGGGAACATGTTTCGCGCGACATGCGCTCCATGTTTATCATGCATTTTAAAGTGCATTTGCGAGTACATTTTGAACTGAGATTATAATTGTGTTTAGAGCGATAAACCGTCCATGCGCACGAACGTATGGATTACGTTTACGTTGTAGCTCAGACACATAATGACATCATAATAGCTAATTACGCCCATTAGCTGCGGGTACAGTTGTATTGTATGACATTCTGTAATTTATCATACAATCTAAGACACATTAGTATTCATTACATTGTCCCTGTTTTCATCAATAAATGAATCTAGGATTGATAAAAGCGTATGTCGTTTATTTTAATTATGTATTAATTGATAACGTCATTAGCTGACTAATAAATCCATATTAATTATATTAATACATATATATAATTATGTTAATATGTTATTACGTCAGTATTATACGTTCTGAATTACGTCTTTGATAATTATTAATTATGGTGTTGCGATTATTATAAAGTAAAGATTTTTTTAGAATTAAGTGGCTGATAAATTTGTTGACCGCTTCTGAAAAATTTTTATTACTATTCCAAGAAAAGTTTCCCATTTACTATCTATTTGTTTTGTGAGCATTATTTACGACGTGTACAAAAGTTTTTTTTCCGATGTCATGTATATTTGCTTTTGCAAACAGTCGGGGTAAAAAAGATGGTTTGCAAAGAGAATTCAAGCAAAATGGAGCGGAAATCAGTTCCACGATCAATTACGCAAAAAGCTTTACGGCAAACCTTCTGCGGAAGATTCATCAACGAAAAGGTCAATTAAACCATTATGCGGGATGATTAACGATTGCCATAATCATATTCAGGCCATTTGATTGTAAAATAGAAAAGGATATTGTACACTTTGATAGAACAAATTTCTCACTTCAATAAAAAAGTAAAATTGATATTTAAATGTCGCTAAAGTGACTTAAAAATTTACGATCTCTCCTAAAATATGATATATATTAATTTTAAGAATGTCGAAAACATTGCATTTTGAAGAATAAACTTTTCTATTTGTGTTGAAATAATTGGACTTCATATAAAATTGTATTTTTCATTGAGTTTACTTACCAATTTATACGTTTCATAAATCTCCATAGTGTTTATATTGTGTAAATCTTTTTATCTATGA